TTTTTTCAATATTCATGAATGCGGAAAGCGAATACTCAAAAAAAAACAAAAAAATTGTTCCAATGACATTTAAATGATTTTATTTTATTCAATACGTGTTAGTATCTTCAGCATCAGTACAGAAGTGATTAATTACTTTAGTTTTGATCTTGCAATGTGCAAGGGATAATAATTTTAGAAGTCGACGAAATGAGCGGATCGACGTTCTTACAGCTTGACTACGGGACACTCGCCGATGCGAATATTCGCGCGGTGCGAACGGCGAAGCGTCTAGCGACTGAAACAAACGCATAGCAATGTACTTATGAAGCCACGCGCAACGGCGATCGGCGAAGCGACCGGCAAAATGTACCAAGCGAACCGCGTGGGCGACTTGCGGCGCGACGGGCGAGTAAAACAAATACATGAATCAGTACGGCGTGAGCCACGGAGTCGAGCGGCATTCGCGGCGAATAGTGCAGTGATCAAACGAGTTTAGTTGTTTTCGCCGCGAAAAATGAACACCGAGACTTTTATTGCTGAAATACTAGCTAGACCATCTATTTGGAAGACTGATCTAAAAGTTAGAAATTCATTGTACATTCTACCGTCAATTTGTTTTAGTGGTACGGAAAATTACTGTCATTTAATTTAGACTTTCTTATTAGTCAGTGGGCTATGCCCACTGCATGCAATAAATAACATAATTATCTGAAAGTGTTTTTATTTCATGAAATATCAATATGCAGGGTAACATTTAGTTTGCTGATAATTTTTTGGGCAAAGATAGTTCCAAATAAATTTATTTACAAAAAATCCGTTTCCGATCATTACTTTCTTGGGAAAAGTTGTTCATACTGATGTATACTATAGGTAATTCTCCAAAATATGATCAGCTAATCTATACATAGGTATATAGATGAATACGTAATGTAGATGGATATGCATAGATAGGTAAGTACATACCTTAATGTCAAAAAAAATCAGCGGTACTTAAAATTCTATTTGCATTAAGTTTTTTCTCCAATTCTGGTTGAATATTCATAAGAATATAATCGAAGGTTTCAATACTCATCCCGGTATACTCAAAAAAATTTTCCGGATATAATCTGTATTTTTCGTACTTCTTGTGGAATTCTCCATCTACACCCCAATTTTTATTCAAATCATGTACTCCACAATCTCTTCCAAATATTAGGTCTTGAACCAAAAAACTATTACTTTCCAAGCAATATCGAGATAAATTCGATAAAGACATTTCGCTCTCGGACTATTGGTCGCGGCAGCGAACGTGACTGCCCGTGGCCTGCAAACGGTGTCGCGCGAATGGTCGCCTCGCCTCCCGCTTTGACGTTCGCACCGCCGATCCTCGTGGCCAAGCTGTTAGAGTTAGGCTGTGTTCGGGGCACTAATGAGTCCAAGAGTGATGTGGAGACTGGCCGTGGAATGCCGTGGTGAACTGTTAAGGGGCGTCCACACTATGCCGATCGACAATGTCGAACGACATAGGTGACAGTTACCTCGTCCACACATTATACTGCTGTGTGGACATATTTCATCAGTCGACTGTGAGTAGTTGAGTGAGAAAATTGTATTCAATGAAACAAGCAAAACAAAAACCAAATGAGTGATGAAGATTCTCTTGTTGCTGCTGCTACTTCCATATTTATGTCCGCGTTTGTAAACCAACATGTAAATCGTTCCAGGAGGTTTTGGATTCAACTTAGTCCTGTTAATGGGAGAAAAAGTACAGTACAGTTGAATTTATAAAGGATTTATTGTTGGATGAACAATTATTTTCATTCGTCTGTTGGAAAAATCCATTTCATTCTGGTTACATTCGACTCGACATTTGTCAACCGACTTAGTCCATCGACACGTCCTTACTACGTCGACTGTGTCGATCGACCGCTATCGATCGGCACATTCGACATAGTGTGAACGCGCCTTTAGAACTATAAGACAAAAATGAATTGTTCTAGGTGCCTAATCACGCACAGCCAACGAAAATGCTGATGAGTATGCTAAACATGGATCACGAACTCCAAATGTGAGTCCTAAATCAGCTGTGGAAGTATCGAAATATTTGGTACGAGCCACATCAGAAAATTGATCAGTAATGAACACGAAAACTACTGGTGAAAAAAATATCTGGATTTTTCTAAGACAATATCCTAAGACATATTCCAACTGGGCCGAGATCGGTTCACAATGATTGCTACTCACTGTTCATTCATTGTTCATTCAAAGAACACCCGAACAATGGGGCTGCATAAGGAAATTATTTAATGCAGTCAATGCATATTTCATACTAATCGCACGGTTCATATGAGCAAGATATTTATAGACAATCAATTATGTTCAACAATAATTATGTTCAACAAAATATGGCATTCAACCAACCAAAACATTTGTACACAGTGGTACAGAGAACAAGATTGTTGGGATGAGTGTCATGAAAAGTTAAAAAAAAACAGTGTGGATGTGATACTGAAGTTTTTTAGAGATTTGGAATGCTTGGACGAGTCGGATGGCTCCTAAGCAGCAAAATAGGTCTATTCAGCTACAGTTTATTTCACCACCATATGGAAAATCAGAATATTCTTCATATATCGTCTGCCATTACAATGTGAATAAGTTCATTACCTCCCTTGGGAAGAATTTATCTCTCTCGTGGAGTTGTTTTTGCAAAGGGGGCAAAGCGTGAGCAAGCTTAGTAGCTTTCTTAGGCTATTTACATACACTTATCATATATGTTTTTTTTCTGAACTTGCCCGTTACTTGATGGAGATCCACAGTAATTTCACATTTATTTTTATTTTCATCTTCATTTTTCATAGATTTATCTAAATCTAAATTCAAAAATGAAGTTGATAACAATAAATTTGTAGTAGATGTTTCCTTGATCTGAAGAGGGCTTTTGAAATAATTGACCGAAACATGCTTCTGAGAAAATTAAGAGGTTATGGCATTGATGGTAATGTTTACCAATGGTTATCTGACTATTTATCCCATAGAAAGCAAAAAGTCAGAGTTCAAGATAATATCTCTTAGGAATTGGATATACATATAGATATGCCGCAGGGTAGCGTTTTAGGACCTCTGCTTTCTATATTATACTTGAATGAAATAAACTTGTTTATAAATGTTGATTTTGTAAATTTATTTGCTGATGATATATACTATTAGCATACTACGATACAAGCTTAAATAAAGCTATTGATAAAATGAATGCCGCGTTGAAAGATGCAAATGAGTACCTCATGATAAATAAATTAAAACTAAATAAAATGAAAACTGAAGGAATGATTATGACAACAAAATATAAATGGAACAACCTCGATTTAAATGAAATAAATCTACAAATCGCTAATGAAAACATTGAAATTGTGTCATGTATCAAATTTCTTGGATTCCACATATCTCGGATTCTAGATACTTTTTGGCAATCATCTCGATTATATATGAAAAACAAAAACTATATTTCTTTGTAAGAATTTCTGGTAATTCATCCACTCAGTCTGAAATTACTGTGTACAATGCGATTATCCAACCACATTTTGATTACTGTGCTTCTATTATTTTCTTGTTAAATCTACAAATCGCTAATGAAAACATTGAAATTGTGTCATGTATCAAATTTCTTGGATTCCACATATCTCGGATTCTAGATACTTTTTGGCAATCATCTCGATTATATATGAAAAACAAAAACTATATTTCTTTGTAAGAATTTCTGGTAATTCATCCACTCAGACTGAAATTACTGTATACAATGCAATTATCCAACCACATTTTGATTACTGTGATTTTATTATTTTCTTGTTTATTCTAAATCAAACATCTCAATAACAAAAACTTCAAAATCGCGGTATGCGAATTGTGCTAAAAGTGAATAGATTTACCGAAATCGGAATCATGTTACAAACTTTGCGATGGCTACCAGTTTCTTTACGGTTGTATTACTTGACTATGACATTTATATATATAAAATTCTGAATAATTTATCATCCTCACATATTTCTGAATTTGTTGATTTAAATTTAGAAGTGCACAAATATGCCACAAGAAATCATACTAATTTGCATTTGTGCAGAACAAATAGAAAAAGTGCCATGAATTCTTTATTTTTCAAAGGGTTTAATGGACACAATAAATTACCAAATGTGATTAAATCTAGTCCATCATTAAGTATTTTTAAAAAACATCCATTCATAATGCTAGACAGAATAATACTTGGTAAGATAATATTAATAAATATAGTATTTGTATGTTGTTTTCTTCTATTTATCATTGTATTGGAGCTGCACCTATATTGCAATGTATGTTTCGCTATCTCAGTAGCTTTTTCGTAGTTCATGGACTTGTTATGTGACTTATTACTTGCCAGTGGACTCTTGTTCATTAGGAAAATATTAATGATTGCCATTATTCGTCTGATGAACAAGAGCCTATAATGTGAGCAGTGGAACTTTTGGTTTAAGAAGAACATAAAGCTAAACAAAAGCAACTATTCCTTCACGAGAAAAATAATATATTCCTTTTCGACATACTTTTCAAAGAGTTACCTGCAATTTTCAGTATGAATTTGTTTATTATTCATGAATGTGTTGCATCAAGAAAGCAATAGAATTCCAAGGAATGTATCATATGGAAAAATCACTTACAGAAAATCATGTTGACAATATTATTTTCTGTATAAAAAACTTTTATATGAAGGATAAAAACAATGAAAAATGTTGAGGGAAACTTATAGATCATTATAAAATATTTACCACGAAAAATGGGCCATTCAAGATAATAAATTTTAGCCAGCCTATAGTGGAAACATTATGAAATGAATACGATTCAATTCAATATTTTAAAACAAAATGCTCAGGTACTGATTGCTATTGGCATGTTCACTTATATGAGTACACGAAAATAAGTGTGATTCGTCATAATCAAAGAAGTATTCCGAACTAAGCCTTTACTAGCATAAACTGTAATTAACATGTTATGAGCTCAATATGTATACTCACTTGAAGAATGGATGTACACAACTATTCCAAATGTAACAACAACAGCAGCATGTATTTTCATTCACTTTACAATTTTTGTGTGTGAATTTTCGAATTTTCACCATATTTTCTACTGATGAAGTATAATATTACTCTAGAGTGAAACACTTACGTTTTGATGATGGCAACTTCCAAGAGTACGAATTGTGCAAAAACCATATTGTTATTCAATTGTTATCACAGATTACTTTATAGCTCTTTCAATAACGTGCTGTAAAAATGAATACTGTTATCACACGCCTTGAAACCGTATATAAAGGGGAAACAGAGTACACAAATCATTTGGTTGTGATTTATATTTCGTCGTATTTCACGAAATATTTACAAATGTCATTAACGAAGTACACATAATTTTTTAGCAGAGGTGTTGTATGTACGATTTTCCTTATGATTCATCAGAAATCAACACAGGAACGAATACATATTATGCTTTGAAACCGTGCTTTTTCGTTGAAGTAGATTAGAAAAAATGGAAGAAGATTTTCACTTCCTATCGTCCAACCTATGCTAGAAATCACACGTTAAAAAGTAAAACCTCGTTAATCCTTAGCTCGCATGAATTTCGACTTTTGAGAGTTGTTCGTAGGGGTGCGACAGCTGGTTAAGGGAATAACAGATTTCAACAGATTTAAACCTCCATGTAGTAATACACGTTATCTTCAAACCTTTGTCGTGAATTATGACACTATTATTGACTTTTGACATACGTTAATGATTCGTCGCTCAGGTGTTACACTGAGTCAGATGGATTGCACCTCACTTCGTTTTTCAAGTATTTCTACGAAAATAATCGATAAGACTTGAGTCGTGTGATAGAGGAGGTCATTCAATTGCACCCCTTCATCCTATTCAGTAACTTCAAAAGCTGTAGTTTAAATGATTGAGCACACTTTGTGAGAAGATCATTTCCCTTTCGAAATATGCTGGATTATTCAGTAATATATCAGTAAGAGCTGAATCGAAAACACATTACTTGTTGAATTTTCAGGGGAAAAGAAAGGACTCAAAAGCTGACAATTTTTTAGGTGTTTTATGTGTATATCACGTGCATATCCCTAGGATTGTTATCAGTAACTAACGAATTATGGTGAATACACCGTTCAAATAGAAATTATACTAGCTAGAGAAACACACATAGGAAATTACCATTTCATATTGCTATTCACTCATAATTTCGTCAGAGAGCATGTATAGATTGAATTCTTCATTTACTTGTTGCCTTAATCGAATTTTACATGGATTCGCCGGGCTTTTTAGGATTCATGCCCGTCTCATCATAGTTTGATTGATTCATTTTTATTGAATTTGCAACAAATTCACCAACGATTTTTCCAGAAGGATGTCTATCAGGATGCCGTTGGTTGAATAGATCGATTTCCATAGTCAATATTTCCAAAATAAAGATCAATAATTTCTATTCTCCCCGAGATGGAATAATGGAATAATAGAATAACTAATAAATTTGAAATGATTTATCAACACTTCCACAATTCGAGCAATAATATGATAATCTCTGAAAGAAAAAAATGGAAATTATTTCGAATGAATTCATCATCAGTATTTGAATTACTGCGATAGTTTTTTGTAAAATATCTATAATTTTTTTTGAAAATCGTGTTGTTCAGTTCTTTCCTGTTGTTTTCTGTAATATATAATCAAGATAAAAATGATTTCATTGCATTTTTATTTCAAGTTTCATTGCCTATATATAATTGATATTTTAGCTATTCATTCTATTTTATTTGTTCCATAGATTTCGAATCATAATCATATTAGACAATGGAAGTCCGAACTAATAAAATTCAACACGAAACATTGTCAACCACATTGAAACAAATTGCATACACTAAAAATTGAATAGTATTTTTCCTTTGCCACTCACTGATTAAATGTTATCCATGAACAATTGTGAGTGTATTTGAAAATAATTATTTTTATTTAATTATTTTGAAATTTTGCAACGCGCTACAATTACTAATGAGTTAACTATAAACTAATTTCAATTTTTAAAAAATTAAAGTCCGATACAGGCTAGTTATGAAAAACATCTGTTATATGTGAATGAGGAAAATTTGTCATTTGATTCAGTATATAATATATTGTTTCGTGCATTTATTGCATTCTCGAATTTTTTAAGTTGCAGATTGAATTTGATTATGAATACGGTCGCGGCTTCATATCTAGCCGGAAGTTCGAAGTCTGCTAGAACCGCAGCATTGTCTGGCGAAAAATTTAAAAGAAAAAAATACCAAAATCTTGGTAACAACTATATATTCCATCCAGTAGCGATTGAAACTTTTGGTGTGTGTATCGCCCGGAGTCTCTGTTACTCGTTCATGAACTCGGAAGGAAAATAGGTCAAGCAACGAAAGATCACCGTTTGATAGAAAGAATTAGTATTGCTATTCAACGTGATAATGCTGCTTCAGTCCTTGGAACTATTCCTCCTTCACATAATTTGGATGAGTTCATTCATCGCCCTAATTTCAGTACGGAACTGAATTCTCTTCAAAACAAACCGATATATGTGGATATTCATCAGTCTCCTATCAAGGTTAATTCACAAGTGATTGATCCACCTTCTTCTTTTTCAGTACGGTAAATGGACTTTATGGTCATTCTTGCCCCCCAAATATGAGTTGCAGTCCATGTTCTTCCTTACGAATCAGTAGAGAGTTGTCTTGAAAATTTTGAGAAGTAAGTCGGATCTACATGAATAGCATTTTACAAGTGTTGTTCATGACGAAAAATTTCAAGAACGAGGTTTTAATGATGAACGAGAACGAGAATGTTTGTTCACTTTGTAACAAATGTTCAAGAGACTGGCGTTAAGTTTGGTCATTATTATGCCTTGGTCAAAGACGAAACGGACTGGTTTAAGTTTGGCGATAGTCGTGTTACGAAGTGTTCTGGCGATATATTGAATTTTTTGGAGCCTCTGGAGATACCCTATATTTTATTTTATGACAGAAAGGACATTGGAGATCAAGATCTTCAGATGATGTGGTGCTGCAGGTTTTTCCGGGTTTTTCTGCAGCTGAAAAAGCAAATCTGTTTAAAAATCACTGGAATCAATGGAGTCGCCCGGAGCGCCAATTGATTTTTATTGTTGTTTTATAATTTCACAAATAATAAATGTGAGTTGAAACGTAATATACTTACCATGGGATTGCTCATAGATATAGAGGCAGAAAAAGGGAAAGAGGAAATGGAGAAAAGTGATTCTTCAGACGAAATGAAACAGCTCATCACACACGATGCAGATGCCATTAATAAATATGACGCATTGGTAAAACGTCACACAAAGGAAGTAGTTTTTTAATATTCAGATAGTTCTAGCCGAGGTTTTACCATAAGGACAAATTTCAATTTTTTTATCAATAAAGAAAGAGACACACGTGCTGATTACATAAATTCAATGAAAATTTAGTTTCAACTTCCAACTGGTGATTTGTGTAACAATTCTAACATTTCAATGTATGTATCTGCTTATTTCTTTGTTGATTTGCGAATATTATCTTTCTCATTATCCTTCAAATTGGAACACTCCATGTCGATGAGTATAGAATATTTTATGAATCGCATTGAAAATTATTCAAGCTGATACTTTCCACAGAAAATTTCACTAAGTATCTGCCTGAACAACAAAATTAATTTACATTCTCCATTTATTTGCCGTATGTTGCTCCTATTTCAATACTAATGAATGAATGAATTCTGAACAAATCGTGGAGCATAAAAAACCCGAACTTTCGATCACAAATATATGAATTAATTATTCTCAGTATCCAAAGTAGGTACCGTTACTCATGTACAAGAAATGATTTGACTATATTGATCCCACTAATGATAGTATGATTAATAGATTGTCATTGGCCTCAATAGAATAGTAGGATATGCAATTAAAAAAACTCTACAAAAAATGGTGAATGAGTTATATTTGTTGAATAATGGTATTCATAAATATGGTAAAACATTTTTTCGAACACACATTTCATTGTTTTCTTAATTCTGAGAAGATTTCAAAAATCTTACTAGCTTTTGATATTATTGATAATGTAATACACGTTTTGGAATATTCTGAATTATTTCTTTAACACTACATTGTAGATCCGGAAAATCCAACCATAATAGCAAAACGAATGAAATTATATTAGATTCTGGATTCGCCTCAAAGTAGTTGAATTTTGTGAAAGATTTACTCTTCAAATGAAACTTTGGGTGTTTTTGGAGCAAATTCAGCTGCCTTCAAATTTTCAAAATTAAAACTTTAGGTATCTTTCGAAGCTATAGATACAGAATATTTTATACGGAATAAAACTGATGAAATAAATTATTAATTTTCAAACATGAGGGTTGATTTATTGGTAGTGTAGTTACGTTTATTTATGTAATTATTCAAATCTTCTTAATTATCAATGAAATATTATTATGAAAATAATCACAGTTTCATTTCATTTTTGGCATCTAAATCGTCATTAAGAGGAATTCAAAATTCGAGGTTCTAAAACTTACACTACCTGCCAAAAGTAACCTAACTTTAGCTAAAATGTTGGAAATGTGAGTTTTATTTGAGAGGCGACAATGAGGTATTCATGAAATTGAAAATCCTTTTTTCATCCTCATCATTACCATTCAACATGAAACTTCAGTCAAATGACAAAGTCATAGCATTTAAGTGAAAATTACAGTTTATGTCCCTCTCAACTCCCACACAAATAAAGTATTCATTCATTTTATTTATTATATCCTAAGAAATGTTTTCTCATCACAAAGGTGAACTTCGAATTATAATACATATTATAAGACAATTGTAGCAATGAAAAATAATAGCTTTCATTTTTTACAGGAATCTGAAGAATGCATGAATAATAATAGTCCATTCTATCATTATCTCATATATGATTCATACTCCAATGAAGTGTTTCATAATAAAAGATAATGAGAAAAACAGTATCTGAGATTATCGAAAAATTGGCTTGACAACAGTTTTTCCCATAAAGAATTCGAGAACTCTTATTCTACTAAATCAAGGTTAAATTGTCTATAAATCTAAAGAATCCTCAAAAAATAAATTAAG